AAGATATGAAAAGTTGAGAAAAAGCAACAATAAAGAAATACTTAAAAAATAAGCCACGAAAAATAGGCTATCCCAATTATATGAATAAAAACAGCAGGCTGAATATTTGCTGCAGTAAAATCAGAAAATAATATTAAAAGCTTGAAAGAACAAGTCTTAATTGTCTCTCTAAAACTTGTGGGAAGAAGGATAGCTTGACTTCTGTAGGAGGGGTCCCATGATCATGCGGTGTTCAAAAAAGATTCTGTACTGAGTAACCACCAATCTAATATTTGTAACTGATACATGAAAGTATCATAACAATCACAAATAATGAACAAGTTAATACCCAATACGTTTGTTTGTTTGCTTGTTTTGTAGATTAAGAACTAGAGCAGCGTCATATATAAGAGAGGTCCAGGTTTTTAGTGTCCCATTTTTAGTGTCCCATTTATTCATTTTCTGAATTTCCTGTTGCTCATGAACGTAAATTTAGATATTTTGGCTTTGTGAAATAAAGGACATCCAGCACCAGGAATAACATTTGATTTCAATCATTCCAGATTTGTCTGAGATACAGAAATTTAAAACCTGCTGACCTATCCTTTGAGAAAGCCAGTTTGGTGTAGTGGCTAAGGCACCAGGCTAGAAAGGAGGACCAGGAATTCTAGTCCCACCTTAGGCACGAAGCCAGCTGGGTGACCTTGGGCCAGTCACTTTCTCTCAGCCCTAGGAAAGAGGCAACAGCAAACCATTCCTGAAATCTTGCCAAGAAAACTGCAGGGAGTTGTCCAGGCAGTCACCAGGAATCAACACTGACTCTAAGTCACATCCCCCCACCAACAAAAAACCTATCCTTAATCAGCCACCTTTTTTTCAAAGGAAATACTGTATACGCTTTCATTTCTGTTTCCTTCTCTTTGATCCACAAAATTGACCAAATAAAAATTCCAAAATAGTTCTGATGCTCCTGTTTAAAAAAACAAACAAAAACAAAATCTTATCTCAACAGTGTAGCAACAATTAGAGAACCAAGGTTTGTTTTATTAATTGGGATGAATTCTTGACACCAATTGGCTGCCTCTGGTGCAAACAATCTGAGAGTGAGAAATGTATATAGTCTTTTACACAATTCCAATTGAATCATATATTATTAAAACTGTTTACCACACACTTAAGACTGCTTATCATACACTGAAACTGGTAAAATAAGTCATTTTCAGGGGATTTCATTGATTGTTCCATCACTTAATTCTCTACATTATTATATTGGGGGGGGGTTGTTTATTCATTTGTTTTTGTTTTGGATTTGGGATGTCCTATTACCAATCCTACTTGAAAGAATATTTATTCTGAAAGGGTGTCTGAACTTGTGCAGAAGGCTTGTTGAAGATGGTGTCACCTCTGAGAAGAATGTTTAAGGAAATTTAGTATGATTTTTAGAAAAAATGTATTAATAATCTGATTAGTAGCACTGTCTGATTAGTAGTGCTGCCTGATCAATGACTATAACAGATTTTGTGGGAAGCAACATGGTTTGAAGAGAGACATCAGGTATACTTTCTTCATGGACAGCTCCATGAAGTGGTTGGAGAAACTACATCTGTTCATTGTCTGCCTGGATACATCTGTTCCCACCTAACTTTGAACAGAGAGACTAAGGCAAATTGCACTATATGGGCCCTGACTTGTAAAACCATATGAAGTAGAACAAAGCCTTTACCATTTAACTAACGCAGATCATAAATTGAATTTTTCATATTCTAATTTCTAAAGATTTTGAACCATGAGTGGAACTTGGAAATATCTTACACTGCTACCTCAAGCTATTTTTTAACTTTTAATATATAATTAACTTGCACTTTGTAATACTCTGATTCAGTTGCACTGTATTATTGGTATATGAAATATTGGAATAATGTTGGTCTAAATAGTAAGATATCCAGAAGCCATGCAACTTCTTTTAAAACCACATGGTAGATATCCAATCATTTCTTTTAATGCTGTTTCCCAGATCTAAATCAGCCCTACCAAAGCTTCCATTGTCTCCAAGGGTGGAGATGTACAGATCACATAATACAGAGTGATGAAGCCACTAACATATTTTTCTGGGTACCTAATTCCTCATGTGATTCAAGTCAGGAAAATGGTTAACCCCCAGCTCTTCCCCAAACCCCACCGCTGCTTTCACAAATCTTCAAAGAAGCCATGGATGAAAGTATTTTTGTGTTAAGCAGACAATTCTCCTGTATGAGATCTTTGGTCCTCAGACAGAAAAGAGAAACAACAAAAGCAGAGGCAGAGGGCAAAGATGACAAGGTATAAATATAAGCAAATGTTTACTTTGCCTTCATTTCAGTCAAGGATTAGGATGGTGACAGTGTCAGTTTCCATTTAAAAAGTTAAGAAATATCAGAAACCACCTATCAGCACCTTTCATCTTTATCGTGCAAACCATGTCAACTAGTGAGCTACACTGTAGCTGCCATAATCTGTTTCCTTTCTCCTTTATGCTTTCTTCATTTGCTGCAAGCTCCATTATTTTTACAATGATTGAATATTTCAAGCAAATCTGAGTTTGTTTGTTTTTTTAAAATTCAAACCATTCTCCCCACGGATGATTTCTACGTCCAGTTTGAGAGCATCTTTGCCTTAATAGCCCTGCAAAAATAGCCCTTTGTCACTAATGCAGAATTAGTGACAAAGGGCACAAAACTGTTCATCCATCCCTTTTCCACTGGGGTAATCCAATGGCTTCTTACTCTTGAGATTTTTTAACAGTTTCATTTGCAGCATTATCTTTTTTTATTTAATTGTGGAACTATTATTAGCACCTTGGAACACAAATCAGCTAACATTAAACTTAGAGTCAAACATATGTTAAAATCCCTCCTGCTGAAATGTATGTATTAACTCTGTAATCCTCTGTCCACTGTACATGAAAGTAAACCTATAAGTGCTTAAAATCAGCCGAGATTGTTCCCTAAATTAAATGCATGCACTGTTGCTAGATGGAGTTAAATAAAATTGTCACTTGCATCATCATATTTATTTTGTTTTGAGCTCATCTACCTCACTTTGGGGTATGACATGAACAACTAGAGCCAAAGATGTCCTTTTGGGCTATCCCAGTGGAATAAAGCCTGTGGTGAGAAATTCAGAAAATGGACTGAGGAGTAGAAGATGAAAAAGCAACAGAAACATCAGAAGCCAAAGGAAGGATTGGGCTATAACATTGCCCAAAGCTTATTTTGGGTAGAGAAATTGAATCAACACACTAAAGAATAAATTGCACCAGAGAACAGTAAGGGTTATGGCTAGGATATCTCAGGAGTGGGTGGAGTGTCTGGTATCAACCTTCTGCCTCCACAGTAATTATTATACTATTTCTGATAGAGAAACCAAGCAGAGTTTATAGCCCACTCCTATTTTGAAGAAAAAACTGCTGGAGTGAGCTTGCCTACATCTAGCAATTAGCTGATTTCTAGAAAGAGTCCGATACAGGAATCTAAAAGAGACTTTTTCAGGAGTAAATATATATTGGAACTACAGGTGTGATCTTCAACTGAAATCATCCTTCTTGCTTTTATTAATACGTGGTCACTAAGAGTTGACAATGACTTGATGGCACATAATTAGTCAATCAATCAATCAGTTTGGTTGGGTCTTCTATTATTACCGGTGGTTTATTTTATTATTTGAAATGTTAAGGGGGCCTCCCTTATTAAGGCAATAGTAGGGGAAGTAGCAAACAAAATAATAAGAGTAAATAGCCATATTTATTTATTTTATTTATTCAGTACATATTTGACCTATGCCCTCTAATTTTTTTTTTTTTTTTCCCTAAACAGAAAAGTTTCTGGCTGCCTTAACAACTTTCTCTATGGACTGCTAGTGTGAGTAATGAATGCCAAGTTGTTCTAAAAGAAGCACTTTCTGTTAATAAACTTTTCTGTTTGTGGATGAGAGGACTGAATTGATATATATAATCAAGACTTGAGTGGGGAAACCAGAAGGAGTGATTCTCCCAACTGTGTCTCATGGACACTCAGCATGGCAACATTATAGATCTGGATCAGGGAAGAGTTTAGTTATAATATATGGAGATTTTAACCAACTTCTGTATGTATGAATGCCAATTTTGAATTATCTTGTGCTGGAAACCTGTGCCAGATTAGGTTTTTCTTCCAAGATATGCTGGTTATTATGGTTTTTTATTTGATGTTAAGATAATTGCCTTAGGAGATGCTAATATACAACACAAATGTATTGTTCCATCATTTTGTAGGGTAGCTTAAGCCTTGTTGCCATGCTGCTATGTCAACAGCTCAATAGACAGCAGAATACAGTCTGGATATGGGATTAATTGAGAAGAAGTAGATGATCTTAAGGTTGGTCATTAATGACCTATGGTTTGATGCAACCTCCTCTAATTTGGTGTCCTCCTCATGTGTTAGGACTACACATTCTATTTATAATAGCAATGATATCTCTGAAATGCAGACTACTAGCGTATTAGTGCACTGTGAAACAAACTGCACCGAAGAATGAAATAATCATTATCTCTCTGCCACTTCTCATATTCACCAGCTCTTGGCAGCTTACTCTACTACCAAAGAAGAATATAGTCACATTTTAAAAACCACATGGATCTTGTTTAAAAGGCAGTTACCCTTGCTTAAAAGCCATGTGCACCTAGCCTAAAAGATAACAGGGGGATCCGTGATACCATAGTGCTTAAAAATGCAATTTATACAACAATGAAACGAGTTAATAAACTATGCTAAACGGCAATAAGCACAAGCAGTAAACTGAAAGGGCCTCAGAATATCTTTCCCCAGTAGCAAATTATGCACGAATCAATTCTCATAATGGCTGGGCATGCTGGAGTTGCCAGATGATAAATCAGGCAGGGAATTTCTAGCCCTACCCAGATCTCATGCTGCCTGAACTTAGGCAACTGTCAGAAAATATTAATAGCCTCCACTCCTTTTATCAAGTTGTTAGTGCAACAGACCCACCTCGGCAGATGGTCCCATTCCCCACATATCCAGGCTTGCAGGTGCAGCGATGTCCCCTGATTGTGTTAGTACAGATTGCATTCTCATCACAATTGTGCTGTCCACTGTCACATTCATCACGCTCTACAAGAAAACAATGCAAGAAAATGTGAAGGAGAGGAAAGGGAGAATAAATTTTCAGCTTGCTGATCTGACATTTCAAAAGCCATTTATAACTAATGACTGAATTGCTACGACAGCTGAACACTACAAAAGAGACATTCAGTGGAGAAATTTGACATCAACTCTTTTCCATTTCAGGTTATGATTTATACCTGGTCATCTCATGTATTTTATATATGGGGAAAGACACTACCTGATAAAAGTATTAGCAAGTAGAACTGAGTTAAAAAAAATGTTGAATTCTGAATTATCTCCAACACATCATGCATCATGTTTGTTCTGATGCTACATGCTACTCACTAGATCAACTCAGAATAGTTGTCTAGGACACATCTTTGTACACTGCATTTGGTCCCTGATCAGAGCTCTTGGATCTCTTTTACCTACCCTTGGGGCATACAGCTTGGTAGAGTGGCCTGAGTTTTAAGTAGCCGTAATATTTTATTAGATTCAATAAATTAGGAAGAAAAATTATGTTTCCTGAAGTTCAGATAGGAGCAATTATGCCAGCAGAGTTGAGAGATGCATCTGGGAAGAGAAACATCTTCTCACTCTATCTGAAGATAAACTTTCCAAAGCTGCCCTCGAAGCTGGCTTAAGATATATCCACCTTTTCTAATGACTTCAGCCATGAATTTTCAATACGAGATACCAGCTTCCATGTTACTTTAAAGACATATTGTATCTAGCAGCTTTAGTTATTTTGCACCCTAATAAAAAAGCAACTGGGGGGGGGGAAGAGGGTATTTAAACTGGAACCATAGAAAGGAAGTTAGGGGAGTTTTATCTATTTGCTTTCCCTTCTGTGATTCTAACCTCCAGTGAATCTCCTTTGCCAAAAAATTGTATTGTCAAAAATGAATTCATTCCTTTCATGACCCATTTTTGGAAGTGTAAATATTGGTGCTGGAAGTCCAACAAGTGGCAAGAAAAACAAATGAAAAAAGCCACCACTCTCTGCATAATACTTTCTTTTCACTAAAGGGACACAAAAAAAGGTGTAACTATTATCTATGTCTTTAATGATGTGCAGTTTTAGTTTAAACCTAAAGCCCAAATCATTATAGGCTTCATTCCTAATAAAGCAAAAATTGCCAATTGTATTTACAACTGGAATAAAACATCCACTTTTTAGTTTATACAGTATTGTATATACGACCCACTTCCATGGACTCAAGGTGGTTTTCAGGAAGCAATACATCATTCCAAATATACATAACTTAACAGAAAAAAATAAGACAATAATCTGTTAACTAGCTAACTACTTAGGCAGCCCTAATACTATTAGCCCCTCAATGGTCTGCAGAACAGCCAAGTTTTAAGCATTTCTTAAAGGCCAGGAGGTAAGGAGTATTCTGTAGCTTGGAAGACAAGGTGTTCCAAAGCATGGGGGCAGCAACTGAAAAGGTGCATTGTAGGCCCCCAGTCTACCTCACCTTATTAGTAAACCTCTATGCCAGAATATATAGGGTGAATCAAATCTTAATGGGAGAGATGGTCCTGCAAGTACCAAGAGCCAAGCCACATAGGGGTTTAAAGGCAATAACTGTTGGAAAATATGGGGTTTCAACCAAGCCTGTCTCTCATGAGCACAAAGGGAGGGGTGGCTTCACTGCGGCCTAGCTTTGCTGCTTTGTGTGGGAGGGGCTTGGAGCACACCTTTTTTCCAGTTTCCCTCAGTTTTCCTTCTCTTCTCCTCATGGCTCTTCAGGGGTAGGAATGAATCTTCTCTCCTCCTCATGGTTTTTGTAGTAACATTTAACAACCCCAACTTTGAATTGGATCCAGAAGCAAATTAGTAACCAGTGCAGCAATCATAACACAGGTTTTACATGGCTAAATCTGCCACTGCTGGTTAGCAGACTGTCCACTGTGTTTTGAACCAACTGAAACTTCCAAGTTGTCTTCAAAGGCAATCTTATGTACAATGTGTCACGGCAGTCTGGACATTAGGTGATCAGGGCATGAACATTGTCATCAGGGCCCCCTGGCCCAAAACAAGTTCTTGGTCTTCATATTCCCTCTGCTGTTCATACTTCTCATTACTTAGCAGCACTTTAAAAAGTAAATGAGGTCAGCAAGCAAATTTTGCTACAAACCTCGTACTGATCAAGAATTAACAATGTAGTATTCCTATAATTAAGCCTATTGCCTTTCAAAATGCATCTGCAGAACAACTGTTATCTCAAAGCTAGAAGTAGTTATTGCTGACTTGCTGTTGAGGCCAGTTCATTCCTAATAGTGGCTCACATTGCTTTGACTTTGATTCAGATTATGAATATCCATTTATTATGTGAATACTGTCAGCTTGGTGAGGATTCAGCAGATAGTAGCAGAGGTTTTAGAATATACATTACACAAGGGCAAGAATAAATGGCTTCATCTTTCCAACTCAGGAAAGAAGATTAAGTGGAGCTAGTAGAACAGGTTTGAAACTGTATATATCAAATGCCTATTATGAAGAAGATAGAATTTTTCTCCCTGGTCACTGTAAGAGCAACGTGACACACCCAAACTGAGGAGTATCAGGAAGAGGGAAGCAGGCTGGATATTTGGAAGCAAGCCTCAAAATTGTACCCCATTGTGGATCAAGTGGCTGTGGGAACTGATGGGATCTTCATTACCAGAGATTGTTAGAGAGAGGCTTAGGGTATCTCTGTCATTAGGTATGATACTGCAACTTGCAGCAAAATGCTACAGCAGACCTCTAAAGGGGAGAGGGAGGTGTCCCATCCAATTGTGTATTATGATTCAATTGCCATAGGAAATTTGGAAGGGTACATTGTGAGATGGCAACTGAAATTATTTTCAGACCTGTAGTGCCAAAAGCCTTATATAAAAATCATGCAATTCACCATCCTCCTGAGGGGACTTGTGGGCACTTAAGCAGCAAATTTCATTTACTTTCCAATCAGCTCTTTTATGTGTGTATCAATGCCCAGTTTAATACAGCAGTTATACATCTGGGGCATTCTACAGTCACGGTCTAGCTGGATTACTTTTCATCAGAGGAAGAAAAGGCCAGCGATCTCCACAACCTAAAACAAACAGCAGGAAAGCAGACAATCTAGTTCAGGCTTTCACCACCCAGTGCAGCAAGTCATGGTGATGTCACTCATCTATTACATGATTTTCTCCCTCATTCTCTAAAAATACCCCCAATCTGGCTCACTGTTTGCTCAATATTATGGCCAAGCCAGGAAATCAAAAGTGCTGACTGCAGGAAATAGTTCCACTTTTCAGTCAAGCTGAGACCCTTATACAGACATGAATAGTTGGAAAAACTATGGAAGCTGGAAGAAAAGTGGGATGCCTTCAATGCTATAGCAATTCTAGTAGCAATAGGGAATAAAAATATTAAAAAGGATCCAAGGACGACCCTTCCAAATTAAGATTGTGCAGATGTCTCCATCCTCTTCCCATCTGCATCACTGATTATTGGGTTTTGGTAAAATACATATGAATAAGCTGATATTGTCAGAACCATGAACTTGTTTTGGATTATTCATTTTGTTAATCAGAACAGCAGGCAATATGCTTTTAAATTACTCATCAGCTCTTCCTTCAAACCTCTTTTGTTAACAAAAAAAGGAATCAACTTCTTTGTTCAAGCCAGGAGGAAAGCCAATAACCAAATGTAGTCACCTGACTCAGTCTTTTCCCCTTTTCCCATCTCTTTCAGGCCCTCCTTTGTCAGACTTCAGACTCTCTTTTGTTAGACTTGACCAGCTCATCTATCCCCCTATTTTTCCAAAGTAGGACTAGTAATATGCTTGCTTCAGGCAGAAATCTCTTACAAAATGATATAGGAAAGCCCACTTCTTCCTTTCTCCCTCCCCCACTTTCTCTCTTCTGGGCTATGCTCTCTTCTTTCCTGCTTTTCATCTCCATCCATAGTTGAAGTCACTCAGAAGAAATGCAGAAAGGGACACCCTTTCTAACAGGTCTTTTTGCTAATTTCAGAGAAAAATCTCTTTGAACCACCTGAAGCCAGGCTTCCAAAGTGGACAGTGTGGTCCTCAGGCAAAGATCTTCCACTGGCTTGGACCTGAAATGCAGTCCTAGATGTTACTGAGTCTTACAGGAGCTGAAGAAAACCCTTCCAGTGCATTGCGTTATTAGACTTTGGAAGCACAGTCTTTCTCTGCCCCTTTAGTAGCTTGGCTGACTCCAGAAGACTCATGATTTCAGTAAGCCAATGGGCAAACTGAGCAAACTCAGCCAATGAGCAGTGGCAAAGCTGTTATTTAGGGACCCTTTCCCCATCTTTCTTTCCCTCTAACTGTTGGAAGATCCACCTAACACTGATCTTTGAGGACCAGAACTCTGAACACACACTGCAAAGGATATGCTTCCCCTCCCCTCTTCAATTATTTCTATTTTATTCTCTATTCCCAACCAGATAAAATGCTCTCCCTTAGCATGTGTGTATGTGTGAGTGAGTGAATCAGTGAGTGAGTGAGTGAATGCTACAGCCAATACATTTCTTTCTCTCTTTGGTGTAGCAGGAAACCTCCAAAGTTCTGGCATTCTTTGATGTGTTTGTCTTTTCCTATAGCTGAGCACTATATAAAGTAAATCATTTCATTAAACTTCCTCCATTTCTCCAATTGTCATTTTCTAAATTCTTGCCTTTCTCCCCCTAGACTGAACGAAGTGCTAAATTCTCACAGATCATTGCTTCTTGTTTAGTTACTTCATATGTTAACTTTATGGTGCCATATTTCCCATATTATTATTTGATTGTATTTATATCATTAGCCTCATATACTAGTTTATAAATTGTTCAATTGTTTATAAATTATAGCTTCATTTTTGGACTTCTGGTGCATACCTGTTTAATAATCTATAGCATAAAGGTCCCAATAGAACTGGTGTTGTGGGAGGCACCAGTCTGTAATACAACACACAAATGCCACCATTGCAAACTTGCATCCCAACCTCTGAATCAAGTATGTAAG